GAGCGAATCAGAAAGTTGAAGGCTCTGGTGCTGTGTTTAGGGGAGCCGAAAAATGCAATGTGAGGATAAAACATGGACTACTTTAAGTCACAGTGGGCACATGGGGAACTTAGCAATGCTTCCTGCTTAAAAGAAATAAACATTCAGTGTTGTTTAAGCTCAGCCTCAGAAATGCTCCTTTGAGCACTGTCACAGTGAGCATACTATTCACAGGCACAGGAAATCATTGGAGCAAAAATAGCTTTCAGTCTCAGCTAACGATGGCGATAAACCAGCTACTGGCGATAAACCAGCTACGTGCTCGCCCAGTTGAGTCAGATGGTGGGGATTAAAATGAAGGGAGAACAAGCTGCGTGATAGCAGTTCAAGCCTTCTTGTCTTCTCCAGAACCAAGGCCTGCACCTGTGGAGTTTGCGTTAGGCTCAGTTTGGGTTTCAGCCCAAAGCCTGAGCTCAGAGGCCTGTCAGCCACTGCCAGGCATCGAGCAGCAGGTGACTGAGGACAGCAAATCTGAAATTTTACTCAAGTGAATTTCCATGGGTAAAACTTCAGGAGTTTGCAATTTCTCTGAAAATAGTTTTCAGAGCCAGAAAGCCAGTTTCTTCGCCTGCAGGGAATGTGGTGAGCCCATGGCTAGTTGCTAAGTATGAGGGAGGTTTTAATGTTAACTGTTTTGAAGTGTGGCATTCTTACATTGCTGTTTGTGGCCCTGACTGTAGCAAATGAGCAGCAAAAGCATCTTTGTAAATAACAGCTACAATTCTGGAAGCAAAGTGTCTGTTCTAATTTTAACATTTTGTGTCTATTAAGTTTCACGTTTGCTTGTTGAAAGTGTCTTGGATAACTCTGTATCCTTGCACACTGTTGCTGGGGGGCAGGCACTGGTTTGGCATCGGAGCTGTAAGGGGTATGTGTTTGGGGTGGGGGAGGGCTGTGTGCTGCCAGGGGAGGGCTGCAAAGCTGGGGGCTCTGCGGGAGTGCCTGTGTCCACAGCCCAGCCGGCCAGTCTTCCCACAAAAGAAATGGAAGAAAGGGAAAACTGCAGGAGCAGAGAGGTCTTGTGCCTCTTCAGCCTTATTCTTGGGAGAAGGGGCCCTTTTCCTGGGAGTGCAGCCATGCTGAGCTTGCTCGGCAGGAGAGCAGGTCCATGGAGAGGACATTGTCTTTCTGACGCAGAGCACAAACCTCGTGTGGTGGGCTCTGCAAAATGTGTGTGTATATATATGTGGTAGGGGCATCCTTTGCTTGAACATTGTTTGAATAATTTGTTTTTATTAGCTGAAGTTTAATTTCACATTTCAGAGCAAAAATTTGGAGGGAAATTTTAAGGACAAAATTAATCAGTGTGGTGAAAGGAACCTGGTTAGACATATACATGAAATCAATAAAATGCTTGCTCAAGTGTGCATTTAAATAGTTTTTGCTGAATTGGGCATGACAGGGTATGCCAGATTAGTTTGCAGAGGCTCTTCAACTTTTCCATCTTCTTAGTGTTCTCTATCATGCTGAAGCATCTTTAAAATTTTATTAGCAGCTCAAAGTTAAAAGGGTTAAGAGGTTAAGAAGCTGTCTGTACTCTGGATCAGGAATGCACTCAACCTGTTGCACAAGAGCAATCAGATCTGTTGCTGCACTCTTGAGAGGCTCTAAAGCATTCATTTTAAGACTACATTAGAAAAGAATTTCTTTTTTGTTACTGAAGAGTCACTTTTGGCTAGACTCTTTGCTGCAGCTTGTCACATCCATATTTGAAACACAACAAATGGCTTGATAAGCACCAGCACAACCTGAAGGATTTGTCAGAAGGGTCATGTGTAAACAGGTTTGGTCTCCCTCATCCTGAGCTCAAGCAGACCAAACACAAGCCTTGTTTGGCAGGTTAAGGAAAAAGAGGAAAGAGAGAGGTGGGCCCATGCGAACCTCACAAAGTACAAGGCCAAGTGCAAGGTCCTGCACGTGGGTCGAGGCAATCCCAAACACGACTACGGACTGGGCAGAGAATGGATTGAGAGCAGCCCTGAGGAGAAGGACTTAGGGGTGTTCATCGACAAAAAGTTCAACAAGAGCGGGCAACATGTGCACACAGCCCAGAAAGCCAACTGTATCCTGGACTGCATAGAAAGAAGGATGCACCTTCAAGGGAGGTGATTCTGCCCCTCTACTTGGCTCTGGTGAGACCACACCTGGAGTACTGCATCCAGCTCTGGAGTCCCCAACATAAGAAAGATACGGACCTGCTGGAGCGTGTCCAGAGAAGGGCCATGAGGATGATCCAAGGGCTGGAGCACCTCTCCTATGAGGACAGGCTGAGGGAGTTGGGGTTGTTCAGCCTGGAGAAGAGAAGGCTCTGGGGAGCCCTTATAGCAGCCTTCAAGTATCTGAAGGGGGCAAACAGGAGAGCTGGGGAGGGACTTTTTACAAGGGCATGTAGTGACAGGATGAGGGGAAATGGCTTCAATCTGGAAGAGGGTAGGTTTAGATTAAATACTAGGAAGAAATTTTTCACTCTGAGGATGGTGAGACACTGGAACAGATTGCTCCGAGAGGTTGTGGATGCCCCATTCCTAGAGGTGTTCAAGGCCAGGTTGGATGAGGCTTTGAGCAACCTTGTCTGGTGGAAGGTGTCCCTGCCCATGGCTGAGGGGTTGGAACTAGATGATCTTGAAGGTCGCTTCCAACCTAAACCATTCTATGATATATTGTCATATACTTGTATGCATGTATCACCTTTATAGCATTTGAACAATTGGAGCAAGTCGATTGTCTTTGGCAGACTCAAATAGTACCTTGTGGCTTTTGGCTCTGAGGTTTTTCCAAAGCTCCAGGAATTGTCCTCTAGGGGAATCCATGGCTTTAGCACAGATCTACAGCAGTGGCAGTGCTGTGGCTGGTGTGTGGAAAGTTAGATTGGGAAAAAATTGGTGTTTCTGAATTTGCTTGTTTCAGGAAAGGACCTTCTTATTTTCTTTGAGCTGATAGCTGCAGCAGATGCTGCAATCAGAGTCTTTCAGACATCTGTGCAGACTTGAAAATCCCTGACACTCACCATCTAAAATTTAACCATTAACTTATTTCGAATTCTTTAGACTGCCTTTGAACTCCTCATTGGAATATTGCATCTCCCAACAGCAAGCTACAAATGTCCTCAAATATGTTATGAAGTTTGCTTGGAGAAATGTGAAATAAAGGTGATATTGAGGGGATTTTTAAAACAAGAAAACTCTTTGTGAGCAATTTATCAGAACTGTTCAGATCTAGGAGTGAAAGAAGGGCACTGGAAGTGTTCAGCAGTGAGATTAGGTTAGACAATTTTTCACTCCTAATATTTTTATTTTCAGTGACAGCCTTCAAACTTCCACTAGCTGTGGTATGTAACCTTGAAGTTAAATGGCAGGTTTCCTAGCTGTGGGACCAACCTAGTAAGAAAAGTTTTACCCAAATAAAAGCTTCCTTCATATTGCTCTCCTTGCTGTTTCTTCCATACGTGTGAACTGAAGGTTTCTACCAGCACAACTAATGTTTTGCCTCTGAGTGCTCTCTCTTACTGCAGTATCTTGAGGGAACTGCCAGCATGAAAGCTGCGAGCTATGTTGCTAGTGTGACTGAACCCTTGAAGGGATTAGTATTTGTATCATCAATGGAATAAATTAATCTCTGCAGTGCCGTGGAGGCTACAGGATAAGAAAGAGTTTCTGTTCAGCTGAAGTATCACACTTTAAATCTCATTGATGTTCTTACACTCTCCTGTACTCAACTTGTCAGAGGGTTATTTATGTATGACACAACTTCTTTCTAAATGCTTGTAAAAGTAGCTTCGAAGAGGAAGGTTTGGATTAACCTTCTTTTACATAGGAGCATTTTCAGTTTTGAAACCGTTCCAGTAATGTCTGAACAAGCTTCAATGCCAATTAACCGAAAGCTAATAGTTTTGCCAGTGGAAAGTGGTAAGTGCTGTAAAATATGTAATTGAAGATGATTCACATTGCAGTGTTGCCTCACACTAAGGAAGCTAAATCTCATCCTGTTATAAACGTTATGAATAGTACCTCACTCGTGTTTATGTCAGGCATGTTTGTGTAGTCACTCCAACCCTTGGAAAAGAACCCAGGAATTCCTCTAGGAATTTACACTGCATAAGGTTTTGATTTTATTTATTTATACTTCCATTGATGCTTCTTTCCTAAGCCAATAATGGCCACAAAAGATAGGAAGACACTCTGTATGTCGTCTTTTATTGGGGAAGGGAGAAAGATGTAGAGGAGAGGATGTTTTCGTATTGAATCTCCTGCTGGTTTTTCTCTTACTGTCCGTGGCATCTTGTTCCAAGCTTCTAGTTTGCCTCTATCTGAAAAGAAAAACTAGAAGCCCAGCAATTATTTCATGTGTACTTGAGAAAATGTCGAATCATCTTTATCAAGGAAACTCTTTGGAAGTGGATGCAAATTGTGGATATGTATCCAGTATACCTATCTGACACAAATGCACTCCCTAAAACCAAACATGAAGTGCTGGAATCTGCAAAGTGAAATACCAGCTCATTGTGGGTGATGCTTTTTATTACTAAAGACTGTATGTGATGTGCACCACTCTAAGGTCACCTGTTGAAGGCTTAATAAAATTTCTTATTATCATTGTCCTGGTGTCTAATAAGAGTGAACTTCCCTGCAATAGTCATGCAAATTGTCCTCTGTCCTCCACTGTCCTGTTATTTTTCAGGAAACTTTTAAAAACTTGATTATCCTTGAAAATTTCTTTTTTCATGTCATGTTTAGGTGAAATTAGCCAGTATTTTCAGAGGGCTAATGGGAGGCCAAGAAAATCAGGCAGATGAGTACAATGCTTGATAACAAAAGGTGCAGAAAACCAGTCCACAACTTTGCTCCGAATTCTGTTAATGTGACCAGGGTGTGGTGGTTTGGCAGTGCTATAAGAAATCATGTGTTGAACTGTAAAGTATGTAAACCTGATATCCTAGAGTTAATCTCTTCTACCTTTTGCAGGTGGAGATTTACATTTTACCTTTATATATTTACCTATGGAGTACGGTTCCTGAAAAAGGTAGGCACTTACATTATTATGCTTTCATAACAACATCTTGCAGATCTGTGTGAAGTCTCATATAGGTATAATATAAAGCACGGGCATAAAACTTATGTTCACAAAGAATAAAAATTAAAATTTAATTTGCATTCATAAAATGAGTTGCTACTGGCATTGGTAAGGAATATAAGATCTCATCAATATTTAATGGGGTAAAAAATAAATAAATCGGTATAGCAACATGCCTAGTTCACTTTATTACTTTTCATTATAGGCATTAAGCTAGCAGTAAGGCTTACCAAAGTATTCATCTAATTTTCTGCATCATCCTTATTTAAATGCCTCTGGCAGAGGTTGCATTTTATTAACAAACAAAATCCGTTGGTGTTTTATAAAATGGTACTTTTTGCCTGTTCTTTGTCTGATGTACTGTGGGAAAAAGTTTCCATGGAGTTTTCCATCAATGCTGTGTTTCAGGTGATTTAAGCAGAGAAAGGTATTGATATCTCCTAAATGCCTTGGCATAGGTCTATTAACGCTGCCATAGGCAGTAATACAGATTTATGGTGCAAATTCGTTTTACGATATGACTGGTTCTCAGAGCTTTTGTGCAAGTCAGGCCATATTTGTGTAATTCTGAGAGGTGAAATTATGGGACTGTGTGGTCTCAGCACGTTAATGTAATCTTACTGTCTTCGTTATGGGCAAAAATTTGACATGAGAATTCTAGAGGCTGTCCCAGGTGCCAAGGAACTTGGTGCTAGCAGGACTGCTGATGTGCCTGTGTGGAGAGGGGGCATCAGAGCTGTTCCCAGTTGTTTAGCGATAGTCAGCCTCAGAGGAAGTGTGTGCACCAGCCTTCCACATGGACCAGAGCAGTGTGTAATGTGCTACCTCTCCCTGCCTCCTTGAACACTTAAACTTTGTGTGTACTTCATCCATTAACACGTTGTATGGTCGTGATCTGATATTCTGTTTTCTGCCTTTGATCCCATCCATGTCTGGGGTATGAAATATGACAATATTTTTAATAAGCAATTCTCACAATCCATAGAAGGTTACTTGGCCTGCAGGTGTGTAGAGATCGCGACCATGGGTTTATAGGATTCTGTAATACACAAGGAGACGGAGACATTATCCTCTGAATTCCTCTACTCTATTACAGATCACCACAAATACCACAAAAATCACCATTAGCTAGTGTCACATAATCACTACTAGAAGGCATACCTATGATTAATAAAGCAAATCTTTCAGCACAAAGAAAGTGTGTGTTCTAGGAAAAATTCTGAATACCAGCATTTCTAAAGACTAAGAAGAATACAGTTAATGTGTGCTTCATTGCAAGCCATTGTGAGCTGTTTCTAAAGGCTGAGTTGACATGCAAAGTGCAGGATGTCTTCCTCCCAGTTCATCATATCGCTGCAGTTTGAGGAGGGCTGGCTGACACACATGGTTGTTTGAACAAGGTGTACTGTTGCTTGCTTAACAAGCTTAACAAGGATCGGTTGTGTAATTTTGCTGTAATTTTAACTTCCAGTGTGTTTAATTTTTACAACGAGAACTTGTTCATTTTGTAATTATGTTTGTATTGTTAATTACTCATTTTCACACAGTGTTGTAAATGTCTTGCATCATTTTGTGCTATAGTCATTATTCCAGTGTTCTGCTTTGTATACTTGGGTCTTTCACATGGGAATATATGTAAATTGACAAAATTATGATTGTGATTGTAGTTGTATTTACACCATCTCCCTAGTTACATTGTGTAACTAAAAGAAAGTACAGGCTTTTTGCTGTTCATCAAACACCAGAGATTTTGCTGGGGGTGTCCAGTTCGGGGGGAAATCTGGCTTTGCAAGGAATAAAATCCACTAATTGCAAAGAAATACATAATTGCTTCCTTAGGAAGCCAGTGAAAGAAGTTGAGCATAATAAATCGTCTTACAAATTTGATAGAAAGACCTTTCCTTCAAAAAGCTGTTTTGTCTGGAGAGAAAGTTGCTTTCATAGTCAGCAGTGTCTTGCTCTCCCTAAAACATTATGCCCAACGCATTGCCTCTCTTAGAGTTTCTTCATTGGCTCTTGAATTGCCAGGCAAAAATATACTCTGACTTCTGTATTATTGCCCTTCCCTCCCAACCTGACCTAGTCTCCTTGCAACCTGCCACTCCTTTGCTTTGCTGCATGTGTTGCTGACCTGTTGGTTCTTTTTTTGTTCGCATTTGGCTCTCTTAAATGTTCCTTCCTTAGTTTGGGGGTGAAATTCATCTTTACCTGCAAGGCTGGCACAGAGCCCATCAATTACTTAAGGAACACTTTGAGCTAGTTTTGAGGTCCTTTGCTTTGTGCTGGCCCTTTGCCTAGAGATGAATTTCAGCTTTTGGATTCTTTCTTTTTCATAATGCCCACAACACTACTTTGTTTTCTACTGTCACCTTCCCTGTTTGCCGAGTAAAGCACTATTACTGCATCACTGCTATATCAGCAGAAGACTGGATGTCTGTGTTTCCTTGTGTCCCACCAAACCGCCTGTGGAAGATCTAACCAGGATACTCTGGCCAACTACCATTCTTGCAGAGAACGTCATTAGGTCTGTGGTGGCTTTGTAGAGCTGACAAGCTTATCTGGCTTTTGGGGAAGATGTGCCCAAGCATAATAAGTAGTAATTAGTGAGCAGAGTTATCAACTGTGTTTTAGTTCTGAAAGTGTGACGCTGTCAGCATGGGACACATGATGACGATAGTTTATTTATAGAATGGAAGTAACTAAACTGCATTGAAGTTTTACCTTTGCCTAGCTATGGCGTCTCACAGGGAGGAAGAGGGCTGGGGTTTGACCTTTGCTTCTCACTTCCCTACAGAAGCACATGAAAACTAATAAAGCTGTCATTCGGAGCAATCTTAGCTCTCTCTAATATGCCATGGCAAGCTTGTCTTTATTACTGCCCATTACTGCATTTAATGGCTGATCTAGATAAAAGAAATTCCTGCACCCAATAAAGCAAGCTGTAAGTCTTTGTAGTAACACCTGCATGTGATACGATGTATCAATTCTTTTGCCATGCTATAATTGCCAAGTAGGTTGCTGGAGGTTTAAAAACTTGCTACTTACTGCAAGCTGTGTCTCTTCATCAAACTGTTCTCTTGGATTTTGCCTTTTTCCAGTGACCGATATATGCTGTTAAGTCATAAATAAATTTAAAAAGTCTTACTTTTGTTAAACAGTATTTTCAAGAAAATCTCAATTCACCGGGAAAAAATGTCTGACAAGGCTTTGTCATCAAATTTTGCTCTTTAGCATAAGATAGGTTCTCTTTAGCAACAGAACCTATCAACCTATATGTTTTAAATAAGTTTTTGTCTTAGTGGTGTCAGCAGGACACTTAGATTGGACCATTTTGCTGAGTACAGTTCACCATGAACTCAGGAAAATCCTTTAAGTTGGGAAGGCAGAGGATTGGCTTTAGGGTGTCCTGCATGTGGCTGTTTGATGCAGGCCATGGTATCATGATCAGGTTCTGATGTTGTATATAATGGGTTTTAGCAATGTGAAATGCACAAAAACTTGAGCTTCCACCCTTCTCTCTCCCTCTGTCCATACTGACATCTGCTCTCCACAGCCTCTGGATCATACAATAGCTGCTTCACAGCACTCTTCCCCACCTCCTGCCACCTCCACTGCTGAACTCTCAAGGCAGGAGACTGTTATGGAGTTTGCACTGGTCTTGTCCTCCATGCCTCGTGACTCAAATGGGCATATGTTATCAACTCTGCCTTTGTTGTGGTAACATGTCCTTCATCAAGTGACAACATATGAATAAACTTCTTTCTTTTAACGTGCAGTTGATGGCATATGCCATATCCAGCTGCTTTAATTGGTTCCCTTTTCTTGGGCCTAAAGAAACAGTCGTTTGTTAGAAACAGTGCAGCTTCTACCATTGGTGTCTGCCTTCCTCAGTCAGGAGGTGATTTTCCCACAGCTCCACCCTGCAGTTATTGGTACATCTTATAAACATTTGGAATATCAAGGAAGTACATGCCCATTTGAAGAGTTACAGTGAAGTGAGAGAATTAAGTCTTTCGTAAGAGAGTGGAGAAGGCAAGGCAGTTGCTTTCTTACTCACAAATGGACCACACACAGAGGAATAGCTCACAGCCTTCCAGATACTCAGCCAAACTTGCATCACATACAAACTGTGTGTTAATATGTACGCATAAAAGACCAACAGACTTCAGTAAAATTTTTACCATAGAATTATTAGTATTTAATTATCATACTAGACATTCATCTCTGCCCCAGCTCTTGTGTGCCTTCAGCCGTACTCTCTTTTGAATCAAAATAAGTAAATGAACATTACAAAGCTGCAACGTTTAATTTTATTAAGGGTTTTGCTGTCATTGTCTGTAACTAGTGAAGGGATTAATGACATTTCAGTGTCAAAGCATCTCGAAGATGAAATTGTTTCCTTGGTATTGGTTTCTTTTTAAAATATTCCTTACAAAATTCTGCTTCTTCTCTAATTTAATGCTTTCAATTGCAGCTATCTTATTTATATTAACAAGTGGTGTAATAGTGGGATTAGACTTTCTGCTTCCCAAAGAGTCTCTCATTGTTGAAGTGCAGCGTAGTGTATGTTTGTGTCTGTTCTTCCAAACCAGAACATTCAATTTGATGAAAATAAACTGTTAACTTTCTAGGTAATGAGTATAAAGCAGAAGTTGGGAGATTGATGGATTTGTCACACCACCCTGTAGCGCTGTGTGTTTCAGGACATGCCCTGCCATCAGGAGCACACTCTGCTCTAGGCTGAACTCCTGTCTCCTGCAGACTTCGCAGTGCAGGATGCTCCATCCTCCTTCACAGCATGGTGGCTATTGCACTGAGGAGGTGAAATAGGTCATCGTAATTAGGATTTGAAGTCACCTCTGTCATTTCTGAGAGGTGAGAGAGGGACTTTATCTATCTTCCATTTGTGAGAAGAGGAGATCAATGTAAATTTGTCAGAGTTCAAGTCA